AGGAAGGAAGCTTGGAGGAAGGAAGGAAGCTGCAGATGAAATACTCCTAATTAGAAAGCAGTTACAGCTCGAGTAATCAAAATTCCTTGAGGATAGTTACAGCCTTTAGATGAGTTTTAAGTACCAACTGGTTCATTGTAAAACCTCAAGCGGTAGCTGCTATGTGCAGTATCACTTTTATGTACTGGTTCCTTGCTTGATTTGCCTGAGCTATATGGATTCTTAGTGAGAGGTTACCACTTGAAGCTGTAAACTTAGCTCTTTGGTTTTTTTTAAAGGATTTCTGGAAATCTGTTTGCTAGCAACCTTTGGGCTTTGTCTTAATAGACTTAACACCTTCCTGTGGTGGTCATGGTGTTATCTGTACTTCTTGACTTGCAAGCTGGCTTTGCTGGCAAGAACATGTTATTTTGGTTATAGTCTCTTAAACTGAAATGGTAGTTTGTAGGTCACTTGGACAGTAATTATCACCTCTCTGAAATGGGGAGGTGATAACTCATCATATGACATACACCTGTATTTATTTTGGGATAGTTCTCGTGATTTATGAAAGAAAATTAATTTCTTTAAGCCTTCTCTCTGTTGCTCGTGATGCATAATGATATCCATTTTGCATGAATGCCTGACATTTCTTCAAAGCTGTTATTCACAGATTACTCATAAAACTCAAAGCTTCTGCTACTTTGTGCATATCAAGCTTGACTTTAGGGTGGTTATTAGCTTTTCTTAGGAACTGCTTGAAGTAGCAATTTAAGGTTCAGACATAAAGGCTTAGTGCTTTCCTTTCGGAATGGTAGCAGGATGTGAAGAAGAATAGAAGTCCCCTAGGATTTAGAAATTAAATGGGGTGATCTCATGACATATGAGTTTCATATGTCTGTCTTTACTGAAGTAATCACAGCTTTTTAACAGGTTTTTTTCCTCTTTAAGATAAATTATGTTGAGTGAGTTAAGGACTGTCACCAGCAGCAGTTCTAAATTGACCATGTTATTTTTACTGTGTAGCACTCTGATGGACCTCGATCCTTTACCACTTTGGCAGACTTGTAACTATGAAAGTAACCCGACAGACTTTTAACATCAGTTTCTTTCTGTCTCCCTTTCTTCTTCACTTAGTGGTTCATAACAACTACATAGTATAGATAAAATGTTGATTTGGCTTTTTTTAAAAAAAAACAAAACAAACACAAAAAAAACCCCAAACAAACACAAAAACAGCAACAAGAAGAAACTGAAAAGAAAAAAAAAAAAAAAACAAAAAGCATCTGAAATGACTAGCTGCTTCAATGTTAGTTCAGCATCAGGTTGAACATTCACTGTAGATTCCTAATGCACTACACCAGTCTGTAAAACAGAAGACTTTGGGGCTGTGCTGCATAATCACTGGAACTATTGAGTTTTCTGTTGTCCAGACTTGCAACTTAGCTTGACTTAATGTTTAATGGTGAACAATTGGTGTTAAGCAGCATTTCTTTTGAATGATGGCACTATGTTTTAAAGTTTTGTCGTAGCTTATGTGCAGGGTTTCTGCACTTGATGGTCTTTATATGCTCAGATTAGAAAACACTGGTTTCCGTAGAGGTATCTTCCTCACTCTAATCTGAAGTATGGCTCCTTGTGTTGTTAGTTATAAGCCTCAACATATTTTTTTCTCTTATGGCTTTCATCTAGGCAAGGTGGATGGAAGTGCCTCGTGTAAGTCTGGTTCTTTACCCTAGAACTAAATTTCAATTCAGAATCAGTCTTGTAAAAGTCAGAGGGACTAATGTTTCAAGAAATAGCACACAGTAGAAGGGATTGTAATAGCCCTTTGTGTGTTTAGAAGTGTGTAGCTTCAGTCTTCAAACCGCATTGATCAGCGGGGATGGGAAAGTAAAATACATTAAAAAATACATTATCTGCTAAAAGCAGATAAAAAACATGATTTTGACACTATAGTCACAACTGCTTGTTTCCTGTATTGTAAGTGAGTGGGTTTTCCATTTAACTTTTCTTTGCAGGTGATGGAGCATGAGTCTTAGTTCTCTTGCCTTTCAGGAGCTGAGTGTGGTGGAATAAGTACTGTGGAAGGCTTCTTTGCTCCCTCAAAACCAGTTACTTTGCAAAGTAGAAGAGATTTGGACTTCAGCTTCCCATGTGTAAACGAATCTGCTCAGGACAACTAAACTGTTGTATTCCAAGTCTGGAAGACAGTTGAATATAGAAATTACATTTATTTAATAAGATGAAGTCATGTTATTTTGATTTCTTACAAAAAACATTATACTTTAGAAAAAAAAAATAATGTGATAATTCTATATTATTGTTTACTTCTGTTGAGTTGGTTATTGCTTTTTAAGTGTTGGCTTTTATGTTCCTTCAGCTGCTTCACAGTACTTTTTTATTAAACTGAGCCATATTGAATGATTTTAACACCAGCAGTTCTTCAATAGTTTTGAGGCAATATTATTTAACCTGAAATAAATCATTACTAAACAAAACCAATATTTTTGTAATGATGTAGCACTTAGTTTAGCTGATGCTGCCATTATTCTAATGTAGCACCCATTGTGGTACCAAATGGGAGAGGAATGCTATATTGAACACTCTTTAAAAAACTTTCCCTTTTATCTTTTTACATCTGCTTTGTTCTTTCCTCCTCAGTGTGAAAGCTGCTTCTGCTGTCGTTCTGCAGCTTTTCACGATTAGCAGGGAAGTGGAGCTGCTGCTTCTTTCCACCTAGCTTGTAGTTGCCGTTAGTGTTCTCCTGAGTTTCAGATCTTCTGCAACTCAAATCGTTCAACTTAAATGACTTTGAATGAATCTTGCTTAAAGTGGCAAATCTTAATGTCTATCCCCAATAGAACACAACAGGCTTTAGGTAGCAAGCAGTATTTCTGCTAAATGTTAGAGTAAGTCAAGACACTAAAATAGATTCCTACGTGCTGGTTTTATTGAGTGTCTGAAGACCTAAATCAAAAGAGAATACTCTTCTGAGTTTCCTTGTATACACCCTGTGAATTGATTAGAATTTGTGAAACCACTTGGGATTTTAAAATGCAGAAAGGCATGGGTGGATAGAAACCTTATTTCTCAGATATTGGAAGACTTAACATTCATAATAAGCAAAAATCAATTGGTTTAGATCTCTTACTGTACATTTGTGATAAATATGCCGAGATGCATTGAACTTAAAACTGTAGTGGTTTTCATGTCCAGCCCACTGAGAGTACTTTAGTGTAACACATAAAAAATGAATAGCTTTTTTATTCTCAACTCCATACGAGTACAGTCTTATTATAAAAAAGTCTTGCTACTTGGTTAAAAAAAAACCACCTCTATTCACAAATTTAAATGCTTGTTAACATAATTGTCAGGTCTTCTAATCAGCAATATTTCTAGTATAAAATTGCTATATAGGAAATTTTAGTGGGCTTTGAGTAATAAAGTCACAAGTACAGATGCCAATAAAGGTGCTGCTGAGGGATTCTGATGGCTGTTATTTTAGTCTCAGCTGAAGCACATCTGTGTTGGTGAGCCCTACAAAGACTCTGCTGTAAAGGTTTGAGACTGGCTTTTGTTTAGTTGTTGATGTCTAGTTCTTGTGAATGAAGGTTTTCTTTACATGATACTGTCTACCTTGGTTTGTTTAAAAAAAAAAGCTTAGATGTGCTGATGCCTAAGGAATAAGGTTCTAGTTTGATATTGATACATCAGTACTTCAGTGTCTTGCCTAGTTTTATTGGTCTATATGAAATGCCCTACGTCTTTCTGTCATTATTATAAAGTAAACTATATTCAATCAAAGCAAAGGAATATTTCCTGTTATAAATTGTGTTTCATTTCCTTCTGATAATAGTAAATGTGGCTTTTAAGTTTTCCTTTCTAGGGAATACTGTGCAATTCCTTTAAACTTCTTAGTGAGTTGCTTCTTACAGTGGTAAAGCTCAGAATACCAGTTTCTGAAGAAGTTTTGTCAAGTCAGTGAAAATAAAACTTCAGAAGCAGGATGGCTACAAGCAATCTCATCTCAACTCTTAGTAAACCTAGAAATTCTATGTTTAGTTTCTATCTATAAGAATAATATAAAATCTGCTTCTAGAAATCAGATTGTGGAGTAAATGTCCTATTTGACTAAGCCAATCTACCTATTCCTGTAAAGATGCATAAATTTAATTAAATAATATAGCTCATATCCTTGGTAGAGAATGGTCACTTGCTTTTAGTAATTTAGGGCTGCTGTATAGCTGCAAGTTGAGAAATCCAAAAGAGATTGTTTTGGTTTCGAAACAAGTGAAGTGGAAGCTACTGAATGTGTCAGTTTCTCCAAACTGTTTTGTAGAATTGTCAAAACGGAGAACAAGTGAGGTCTGCTGCACTACAGAAATAAAGAACATAAAATATTAAAAAACTTTACAACTTTTGAGGAATTACAAACTCCCTTGTAAGGTTTTGAAGAATTAGTTACTGCTTTTTCTATAGTAGTCAACAGTTCTTGATATGGAAGCATTGTGCTTCATAATTTTTAAGTGTATTTTAAGTTACTCTTGTGAAAGAGACATGGGTTTGTGGTAAGTTCTGAACCTTGTGCAAATCAATTATTTCAGTGCCTTCTAAAGCTAGGTAAGTATGGTAACCATAGTCAAATTCATAGGGTTCTGTTTTAAAACCTGAGACACAGTGTTATGCTCTCTATTCTAACTGAACCTCCCACAGAAGTACCAGTGAAGTTTGTTTCCACATAGACACCACAACCTTAAGCTGATACATTTCTTAAATTTGTAACAAAGATCTTTAAACTGCATCAGTTGTCTAAGTAGACATTGAATTTTCTTATTGCAGTAAGTAAAATGGAGACAACGTGCCCATTCATTCTCTAGAGTGAGAAGATGCTAACTCTTTCTGGAAAGTAAATGTGCATACCTGATAAATTGTCATAGAACAAATACAAATATGAATTTAACAGTGATCTAAAATGAAGAGTAATAGTTTAAATTAAAAAAAAATCTTTCTCTGTTGCAGGAATTCTGTGCAGCATGTTTTCTGGATGGAACTGGGTGGCCCATGGCTTATATCTGATCTTGAATATTTGTTCTCTTGAAGGTAAGGCTTCTGCGTCTCAAACACGGGATTTGTAGAACTTCTTTAATCGTATGCTTGAAGCACACACTTGTGTTTTGTCTCCATACTTGTGGGGTGGGAGCAGAAAGCAAGGTGTATTAAGATAGTAACACCTAGTCTGTGCTGTTGATACTATGGTAAAATAATGCATGTTAAACCAGTACTCACTTCTGCTGCTATTCATTGCTCGTCTGTGTCCAGGTATGGTGAAGAGTGACTTTGGTCAGTGGAAGGTTGCTTTGGTTCCACTGACATCACTGAAGGTGGTCACTGTAGCAAACTGACGTTTAGTTCCATGTGTGCCAAATGGTGGCTAAACGAAAGCATGTCCTGGTCAGACTGAACGCTGTTACAGCAGTAAGCTACCAGTGAACTAGTGTCGTAGGTGCTCTGATCAGCTCAGAGCTGGGAGCCGCTGCTATCGTGTAGCAAATGGTCATCCTCAAGGTGTTTAGTTGGCTGTTGATTCAAGGCAGTATTTCAGTCATCTAATTCATCTTTAAAACTTGTTACTTTATGTGCCTCTGTAGCGATAGTCACGATTTTGTTGTTGTGTTGGAGTTCCTCTGTAGAAAGAGTACCATCAAATGTGTGGTATTCACTCTAATTCCCAAGTATGCATATAGTATACTTACTGAAACTCCTGAAATGGACAACTCAAGTATTTAACTGTTTGCATGCAATTCTTCTAAAACTAGTCCACCCCAACAAGGGTGCACACTTTTCCCAATTTTTTTTTTTTTTTTGCTGTTGACTTCCTCAACAGAAAATACCTTTTTAACTACAAGAGTAACCTCAGGTATCTTACCTGCCTCTTTCAAAACACACTAAACATTAAGTCCTTGACTCTCCTCTCTCCTTAAAAGCCTTTGTTTATTAATAGACCTTTTCTTGCTTGGTAAAATGCTTTTGCAAAGCCTAGGGAACGCTATGCTGGTTTACCTGTTAAGTCTACTTGGTAGTCCACTGATGCATTTCAGTTTTATAACTATCGAGTAACTAATTCATTTCCTGCTTAGGCACATGGAGTTTTTAACATTACACTAGTGTTGTATCAACAATATTGATTATGGAATGCTTGGTAGTTTTTAATAAAGATGCAATTATTTTTCTTCTTAGTTTTAGGTGGACTTGTACAGTCATGTGGTCACATCATCCCGGAGTCTCCTGTACTGGCCCTTGGTTCCAATTTCACAGCATTATGCATTTTGAATGAGAGTTGTCTTGACTTTGGCAATATCTATGCTAATCAAATTATCTGGAAAGTTAAAAACAAAGTGGTACCTAAAGAACAGTATCGTGAAATAAACAGAACAGTTTCCAGTGTCACATTTAATGACACTTCTTCACTTGCTACTCCTCTGACATGCAATATTTTAGCAGATGGACAGATTGAGCAGAACATTTATGGAATTACAGTTACAGTAGGCTGTAAGTACCATTTTTCTTGCCTTTTATTCTGGTCTTGAAATTGCTTCTGAGAAACAGGGAAGAGAATGCAAACAATAGAGGGTGTGCATGCTTTGAGACAATTATTTCCATTTCCTCAATTCCTGGATAATTGTATAAAAACATTGGCAAATTATGTTCCATCAAAGCTGGTAAATATGCACGGAGTAAAGTTTTCTAAAAAACAGAAAATACTCTGGAGTATTTCAGTGTTGAATTAGGAAGAAAATGGAACAACAGAAAACAACAGAAAAATTTTGAAGCAGGAAGATTTAAGTTACTGAAAGATATGAATTTAACTGAAATAGATCCTAGGAAATAAACTAACTTTTCCTTACTTCTTGCTTCCGTTTCAGTGTTCAAGAAAATACAGTAAGATTGTGTGTCCTGCTTTCATGATAACACTGTGAAATTAATGTTTTCTTCATTAATGGACTGAAAAGTGTTTAGTCCATCTGTATCACTAAAGCTAACCTGAACTGCCTTAAGGATGGAAATACCATTTGGCTTACTCTACCTCTATACATAAGAAAATACTTTTAACTAATTATCAAGTTTCCTTGTTCAAGCATGATAGCACTTGCATAGTTCTGAGCAAGTGCCCCGTGAGACAAGACTGTCATCCTGAGAAAGTAACATGAATAACTTAATATACTAGTCCTTAATTAGTTGGTGCACCCCTTATTTTATAAGTGTTTTGAGTGTCCGTAGTATCCAAGTAGGAATGGCTGGTGAATTATGTTGTCTCCTAGTGTTGGCGAAAGGTATTGCAGTTGTTGCATGGTTGTGTACAAAAGGCTGACTTGAGTTTGGAATTTAAGCTAACATGGCTCTAGCAGGAGTTACAAAATGCTTTCACAGAAAAAACAAGGTTTTCTATTTCAACTTCTGAGGGGTAAATTTCTTACCAGAAAAGATGAGACAAGCCAAATATATGGAAAGGTTTGGACAGATACAGTATCCTAAGACGATAAACTGAATGACAGTACAGATAACATTCTACTGTTGTAATTCACATGTGAATCTTAAGATGCACTTGTATTTAAAGCTACTGTATTTTCATATGGTCAATTAAAGAAAAATTCTGTAAACGATGATAACAAGTTTGAGAAGAATACGGCTATTCAGGAACAAAACGATAAGGTTCATAAGGTAGTTCTGTTGAAAATAGCATTCTAGCATTGAAAGGAAATAAGATTCTTCGAGGACATATCGCTCTTTACACGTGTGTAATTCTAAAAGCTAGAAATAGACTTTTTATGCTATGGTTTGAATTTAAGAAGGAAAGAAAAATACATCAGCTGCACTCTGAAACAAAGTTTCTTTGACACTACTAAAGTGCATCAGTTAAGATCCTTTATCTTTCTCATAGGTGTTCATAGCTAAAGCATCCTTCTTCCATAACTTAGGTGAGGGGAGAATAGACCTATCACAATTGCCTTAGAGCTCAGGTTATTGGCAAAGTCAGCATATGCCAATCAAGCTGTAGCGCTTATTAGCATTTTTTCAGTGTGAATTAAAATAGATCTAGATGAGAGATGGTTGATACCAGGTTTTCTGCTTCAAAGAATGAGAAGTCTTCTGTGCTGTTCCTTATTGTCAGGTGCTTGTTCCTCACACAGCCTACTTCTTCCCAGGGCAGCTGATTAAGCTTCTTGACTTCCATTTCTGGATGGTATCTAGCATTTTTTGCCCCCTCCTTTAGAAGTAAATCTGACTATAAGTACTTCTGACGTTCACTGAAATTGCTCTAATAGGACACTTTGCATGATTCTTACTAGATTGGAATGTGTATATAGTTTAATTGTTACTAACTTTTTCCATACAGTGCCCCCAGAGAAGCCCAAGAACTTAAGTTGCATTGTGAATCAGCTGTCAAAACTCACATATCCTATGACTTGTACTTGGAACCCTGGAAGGCATACCTTCTTGGACACTTACTTTAGATTGAAATACAGATGGTAAGTAGCCCTCTTTAGAATATGTAAATAATTTTGAAGAATACTTGTATGCTAAACCAAACTTCCTTGAAATTCCTTAATACTTTGGAAGAGATCTTAACTTAAATTCAGTTTTCTGAAGCAATCCTGTTTATTTTGGAGGGAAGAGAAGAGTTAAAAGAAGTTCACAGTTAAAGTAATTCTAAGACTTGAAGTTTTGTTGCTGCACTTGTTTTGGAATAGCTGTCTCATATTTTTCCATTCTTCAAATACATGATTAGTGTGGCTTGAGTACAATACACCTGATCATTAGGTGGGTGGACCCAAAGTATTTTTTTTTGTGGTGCTTGTTTTATCCCATTCTAAACAAGTAGATGTCCCTGCTTATTGTAGGAGGGTCGGACTAGATGACTCTTAAAGGTCCCTTCCTACCCAAACCATTCTGTGATTCTAAGTAGAGAAAACAACATATGGTGACTGGATTTTGTAGAGGTGTTATCTGCTCTGTACTTCCTAAGAACTCAAGATGGTGTTTTTCCGTGATTAATCCTAACGTGAAAGCTTCAGCAAAAGTATTTCTCCTGGGAAAGCAAATTAACTTAAGGATTGTTCATACATTTCAAATGGTCTCTTGTAATTTAAAATGGAGTGGACAGAATTGTTGCTCTGCTCTGGAAATAGGAATGACTGCCTACAACTTTCCATCTACCCAATTCTGCTGAAGGGTTTTGGTAATAAGTGTAGTAGGAAGTGTGTATGGATAGCAAACCCTAATGCTTTGCAAATCTCCTGATGCCCCTAGAACTCTCTGCTGTTAGTGTAGCATATGGTGAACAGAAATTATGATGTGTTGCAGCTGTAACGCTGTACTCTTGAGGGGTATGCAGGTCATATTGACTACATATTTTAATGCGTGAATATGCTTTTACTTACTAGCCATATTGCTTTTGATTAAATAAATCAATTCTTGATCTTTATTTTTGAAGCTAAGTGAGGTTTTTATAAAACTTTATAATTACAATACCCCAGCACATGCTTCTGAAGATATGTGACTTGAAGTCAAGACATTTTAGTCTGGTTTCTATTCTAATGCAATCAGACATTTGTGGCTGAACAAACCGTTCTATCTCTTCACTTTTTCTTCCTGCCCCTCTGATTACAAAGATAATGGCACAGGGGAAGCATATGAGCTAAACTGATTGATTGCTCTGATGTACTTAAAAAGATTCTCTAAAGGAAACCAAACTTACGGCTTTATACCGTGTTTTTTCTTCTCTTTTATTTAGGCCACAAGAGGACTTTCCTGACTGTATACCAAAAGATGCAAACAATTCTTGTACGATTACTGATGTACAGTTCTTTGTTAACCTGGAGGTCTGGGTCGAAGCAGCAAATGCTCTTGGGAAGGCTGAATCTGATCCTCTTGTTCTTGATCCCATTGAGATTGGTAACTATATGCCTCTTAATAAAGCTTTATTAGTAACTGCTCCTTCTGTGCATATTGCTGAATTGGTAGTTAGTGTTTCTTCACTGTAAAAATTAACACTGCCAAAATTTTGACTAGGACTTGAACTGTGCTGGACAAAGGTAGGGAAGGTGAGACATTTGACCACAATTCAGGTAGCAAGTTCTTGTTAAGTAGTCTGCTTTGGAAACTAGTATGAGGTAGCAGCCATTTGAGCTTGTGAAAGGCTTTAACGGTAGTGTTACGGGATAATGTGCCAACTGCTAGAGGCATGATAAAATACAGCTGTAGAGTTGACTCTAACTCCTTCTTTTCTAGTTAAACCTTTATCTCCACACAACTTATCAGTCAACTCAGGAATATTACCTACTGTTCTGAAGCTTTCGTGGGAGAATCGGATTTCAGCAGCTGTGATGAAGCTGAAATTCAATATTCGCTATAGGATTACTGGTGACACAAACTGGATGCAGGTAATACCACTGATGTCCCTTCACACTCTTCTGCTGTAACCCAGCCATTTGTGAAACTGTGGAAGCAGTTCCCTCACTGCCACAGTTCAGAAGATTCACTTGATTATCCTTAGGCCTTATGTGGCCTTCCAAGGTAGTTCTCACCTGTTCCTGAAGACTATGATCTAGGTTCTTTTTGGCACAATCTAGAGTACTGCGACCTTGTCTTTGCTTCGTGAACTTCTTGCTGTCCTCATTATGTTGCACTATTTTTATTCTGCGCATGTAACATCTGGAACATTTATGAACTTTTGTCTTCCTGTGGACATGCAAAACTGCTGATCTAAATGTCATTTAAAGCTTGGGCAAACACCGTACAGCGCTGGGATGCTTTTTTGAACTTCCTGTACCTGCTCTTGGGTCACAACCCCATGCAGTGCTGCAGCAGGCTTGGGGAAGAGTGGCTGGAAAGCTGCCCAGCGGAAAAGGACCTGGGGGTGTTGCTTGATAGCCAGCTGGAGGTGAGCCAGCAGTGTGCCCAGGTGGCCAAGGTGGCCAATAGCATCCTGGCTTGCATCAAAAATAGTGTGGCCCGCAGGACTAGGGAAGGGATTGTCCACCTGTACTCAGCACTGGTGAGGTTGCACCTTGAATACTGTGTTCAGTTTTGGGCCCCTCGCTACAAGAAAGACTTTGAGGTGCTGGAGCATGTCCAGAGAAGGGCAACAAAGCTGGTGAAGGGTCTGGAGCACAAGACTTATGAGGAGCTGCTGAGGGAATGCTGGGCTGGTTTAATCTGGAGAAAAGCAGACTGAGGGGAGACCTTATCGCTCTCCACAACTGCCTGAAAGGAGGTTGTCGCGAGATGGTTCTTAGTCTCTTTTCCCAAGTAATAAGTGATAGAGCAAGAGGAAGTGGCCTGAAGTTGTGCCCAGGAGGATTTAGACTGGAGGGTAGGAAAAATTTCTTCACTGAAAGAGTTGTGAAACCTGGGAACAGGCTGCCCAGGGAAGGGACTGAGTCACCATCCCTGGAGGTGTTTAGGACATGTAGACATGGTACTTAGGGACGTGGTTTAGTGATGAACTTGCCAGTGTTAGGTGAACAGTTGACCTCAATGATCTTAAGTCTTTTCTAACCTAAATGGTTCTATGATTCTATACAGTATGGTTGTCCTGCATACATACCTTAAGCCTGATGCAGTCAAGGAACTCGAAAAGAATAAGGAATATGTGTTACCTGTAGGGCACTATAATATGTTCATGTCTTCAAGAGTTGTGGTTTTTTACTTCTACATCAGACTATGCACATATTTTCAATAGCTTTGCAGTTTTGTGTTTTGTTAAGCCACCTCTCAGAGCAGCAGTATTCCAGAAACATTCTTTTCATCCACATCTTCCCATCTTTTGTTTCAGTACAGAGGCCCAGAAGTATACTGAATTTCATGACTTGTTGGAAGGAATACTACTTCTGGCTTACCAAAATAGGGTATTTAAAACAGGTAGCATAACACAGCTGCTTGTGACTAATGTAGTATCTTCCTTCAATTTGTTTGAAGGAACTTTTTGAGCTTTAGATGCAGACATTAATAATTAAGGTCTCCTCTACTGATATTTTATAGAGCACTGTCCCACACAGCTTATTCTGCAATTCCAGGATCTGTTGATACATCGTCCTATTAAGTCCTTTTATCTTGTCTTGCCCTTTTAACATATGCACAAGACCGTTGAAGTAGTAACTTGTAAAACAAGTGAGATTGCTTAGCTGTGGTAAAATCTGACTGCTTTGACAATTCTTTGCACTCAAGATTAACATTTCATTCCTCTTCCAAGTGCTATAACATGTGATGGAGTCATTGTGTGTGTGTGTACCTGCGTATATCTATTATCTACATCATGCCTCTGTTTCTTTATGTATACAGTAGGAACACTTCCTGACATTCAGTTGCTAATCTAAGGTAAAGGAAAGAGCTTATGAAAATAAACTCAATTTATTAGCAAAAGTATAAACTACTCTAAAATATGAACTATTTCCAATGTTGGTTAAGAAACATTGTCCTTTATCAGTGAAAGCAATGATCCTGGATTCTCTAGTTTTATAGGATGCTTCTAGCACAGATATTTGCAATCAGTAATTAAACAGACAACCTAGCAAAGGTCTGAAATGTGAGGCAGGGTATTAGAGATCAGTAAATACCAGGATTATGTAGGAAGAAACAAGAGGCAGACATAAACTAATTAAAAAAAAAAAAAAACGAACAACAGAATATGAGGGATTGTCCTGAGATAGCTGATTTTACCTATTTTAATATATGTATTGCTTTATAACTGGTAAATATATACAACTGTGACTGATGCCTTACCAAACCATGGATGAGAATTGAAGCTTTTGGAAATAAGAGGGGAGAAATACTATGTTGTTTGTATTGAGTGTGTACGTGGTGAAGAACCTTCTTGGTTGGGAGCTGTAGTAGCACAGAACTCAGCCTTACAATTTTTGATAAGTGCCTCTAAAATCTTTCTTCCATTTACAGGTTCCTCCTGAAGATACAGCTTCACCAAGAACTTCATTCAGTGTTCAAGGGCTCAGACCCTACACAGAGTATATATTTTCAATTCGTTGCATGAAGGAAGATGGAGTGGGCTACTGGAGTGACTGGAGTGAAGAGAAAACTGGGGTCACCACTGAAGATAGTAAGTAATGTATGACACTGACTTTCAAAATGTGTAAGCGCAATTTGGCAATAGCCAGCTGAAACTGTGTATCCTTGCTTGAGCTGTTTGATTGTACATGCAACAAGGCTCTCCTGGGTTGCTTTCACTACTGACTGACTTGACCCATGCGCTTCAAGGAGCATTAGAATAGCTTCCCATAAAGCCACTCTAGAGGTGCTCCCTGAAAACAGCTAGAACAGGAGGTAGGGAAGAAAAGCTTTCTTCATGGAATCTTGTATTCTCAGTCTTCTAGGACAGATGTAGACTTTATGCTTTGGTTTTTGTTCTGAAGGTTATCCTCACTCACAGAAGCTATTCTGCCCATGTGAAAGTGTTGAGTTTTTTTGGTACACAAACTGCCTTAGTTTATGAACAGTTTTGTGTTTAGGAGGCCATTAGACAAAGTCATAGGTGAACAAGCATCAGTAAGTGTGCAACAGAAGATTTTAGCCATATAAGGTACATAAACTTCTTCACAAACTTAGTAAAGCAATGACAGGAAATAATGTGCATGTGGGAAGTGTAGCCTTTTATGCTCCAAAGCATCTAAATAAAACACTCAGGTGTTTTGCCAAGATATTCTGCATCTATAACACTTTCTTGCTTGTCAAAGTCACTTTCAGCTGCCTCTGCACTGTTGTGTACCCACTTGTTTATGATATTCTACGCACAGTAATCAAGAGTCTTGCTGCTTATCACTGATACGGTTGTCACTGTCAGAGATGTAAGAATGAGAATGCCATCTGTAAACCACTGTCTTTAAGCAAGATTGAGTGTATGTGGAAAATGGTTTTGTTTTGGCTATATTTAATCACAAAAAATCGCTGTTTCCCTACCATTTCCCTTCTTGGTGACATCATCATTGGAGTTGTTTTCTTGTAGATCTGGACTTCTAACATCCTGTCCCTTTGCAGTAGGGGTGAACACTGAATTGCTGCTATCATGATTTAATGAGGAAAGCTTCTAACCAGCATCAGCTCTTTGGGGACAGTATTTGGATCATATTTAGTCTTGCACAAAAGGACTTTGCAAGCAGGATATGTACAGCTTTGAAGTATAAACTGATAAGATACACAAAAGATAACGAATCACAAGGTAATCACTAGGTAAAGCTTTACATTTACAGCCCTGGAAAAAAGACTACTTAAGAGCCTCACTTAAGTGTCAGCCTCCACTGCTTTGTGGAACAAATCCTCAGCATTGCAAAGCTGCTGCCATGCACCAGCTTATCAGCTTGACCGGCCTTTTGAATCCTTGTGATGCTCCAGTGAGCTGTTAAGACATTGTCTGTTTCTGTTGAACTCTATGTTCTGCAGGTGTGCTGTGTTACCTGGACTTGTTGATATTGAACAGGGTCACTGAGACTGTTACTGCACTCAGTGTCTTCTAAGATCTGTGTCCACTGCATTCCGCAGCATGTTTTTTGATTTCATTGATTGCTTCCGGTTGCTCCTGAACACATGCATTGTTGAAATGTACTGTGACATTAAAGTAACAACTCACTGTCTTGTGAATTTAGTATACTTCACAGCTCATGGAAGTCATTGCAGTATTTTCCCACTAGAGAGGCTCTCCTGCACATTTGTTCTCAAGTACAGAGACTGCGCCTTCTGCCACTGAGTTGTGCCAGAACTGTTAGTTGAGTATGTGTAGTGCTTTCTGTTACTGATTTTTTTGAGTTTTGTTCGGCTGTTTTGTTTTGCAGCGTATTGTGACTTAGCAATTCTGCATCAACTGCAAACTTGTACAGGATAAGGTTGCGCAACAATAGCTGAGCAGTAATTATTGGAACATTGACATCAATATCACACACATGCATTGTTGCAGAAAAATCCTTGTCTCAAATGGTGGATTCTTAACATTTTCCATTAACAGAACAAAAATACTTGCAGTGTATATACAAACACAACCTAGGCCTGTGCATTTGGCCCTTTAATCTGCTCTCCAAATAAAAGCCCTAGGCTTTGATATATAACTTGCCTTTCAATAGTCTGTTTTCCTTTTGTCATTCATCTGAATATCCCACTTAGGCTGAACTGGAACCAGTTTAACATCTTTAATAGACGCTTGAGAGGTATTAGCTGGTATGTCTTGAATCTGAACTTATATTGGTTTCAGAACACCCTGTGTTAGTGTCTTGCTTCTTGGTGAAGGTAAAAGGATCTAATTTCAGTGTGCAGTAAGCTGTTGAGGAATACCTGTGCCATTAGTTGTGATACACTGGAAATGTAAATACAGTCTGCTTTCTGCTGATAGAACAGCACTTTAACAAATTGTTGTAGCCACCCTTCCTAACGATAACAGATAGTAGCACTTTTTCTGCATTGTTTGCTAATCAGTTAGCATTTTTTGCTATTGTAGCAGTAAGTTTACAGTAGAAGAGTTTTCTATTCTGAGTTTGCTTACAGACAGCTTCAGAGGTATGGTCACCTCTTCCAAATGCCTAGATACATTTGCAAATGTGTAGAATAGTGGGATGACTTAAGTTGGAAAGGACCTCATGAGATCTGTAGTTTCCCGATCCTTTTCCTACCAAGTATTGGGCTCACACAAGGGCCTCAGGTTGCAATTTTGGCAAAACCTGTACCAAAATTTTATCAATTTTTAAAGTACAGTTGCCTATTGCAAAGATTAAATTAAATAAGCAGACACTGGACACTTCAGTTACTTATGCCATTATTACTGCCCTCAGTCAAATTATAAAACTGACTTTTAGATGTTGTGCTTTGTCTAAGACTGTTAGACTCATATCTACGTCTGCTTGCCTTCTGCATTCAAAAGATTTGGTGTCTGTCTCCATAGCAACCTACCAAGATACAGCTGTATTTACTGCTGCTTTGTTCAGGAAGGTGTACTTCTGTATTTCCATATGGTTTTATCTAAGTGTTATGCTTCCAAGTGTTAAGTACTGTAACTATCAAGTGACATTTCAATGGAATCTTTAAATGCAAAGGCACAAATGTATAATCATGATGCTAAGAGTAATGCAAGTGTTCGAGCAATTTGAAATCTTTTGACAATTGTTTTACTATCTAATCCTTACCAAGAAATATCTGCTTTATACCTTCAAACAGTGACTATAGCCAGGGGTCTGTATATCCAGCAGAGTGGATTTGCTGCATAGCTGTGTATATTACAGTAATATATACTGTGAATTCTGGGGATTCTAGAATTAGTAAATCACCCTCAAAGGGACTTGATTTTAAAAGCTTCTTTGGTTTCCTCCTGAATTATCAGTAGCAGCAGCATCAGGAATCACTTGCTGATTTCTGACTTAAAAGATAATTAAACAATATAGGGATTTTATGTCTTGTTTTTCTGGGAACTTGGTTATTGTCAATTGGAAGCGATTCTCTTCCAATTCTAGGATTGTGAGGAGTGAAACTACTTCAGCTTGATCCCGTTTCTGTTTCATTTCTACTTTGATAGCCTGCAAGATTGCCTTTGTTTCTGGTCTATACTGATCCTATGCCATATGCAGCCGGCGGATGGACCTTTTCATTGTGTGCTTGACACCTAGTAGGGAACTGTTTCTTCCATCTTACTATTGCAAATACTTTGTGATATCTGTTTACCTTCTAACTCAGCCGGATTATTTTTTTAATATATAATGTGCTTTAGCCTTTCCTGCTCTTCATGGTCTCCTTCCTGTAATATCCTGTCTGCTGCTTAGTGCCTTCCAAGGTGCCCTCTTCTTAAGCAGTCTCTTTAGTGCAGCGTTTTTGTGCTTGGAGCTTAGCTGCGCTGGATCAAAAATCCTTCCTTATCCCACTTGAGTTCCCACTAATGAGTTTTGATTGAATTCTCATGTCGTCTTATATTGGAGAAGTAAGAAAAAGATTGTAGTATATACCCTGCTTGTACAAATTTTGTTTAAACATAATAGCATTGCTTCAGCTTTGCACAAAACTTACTTTCTCTGGAGGAGATACTGTAAAATACTCTTTCAGTGTTCTAGCTACTTCTTTTCAAGCCCTAATGACTGCTTGGTTTTGTTTTCTGTGGTTACTATCTCAACCTGAGCAATGAGGGTTTCAGGACTGCCTGCCTATTTAGACTGAGTTGCTGTTCTGCTGTGGTGACTGGCTTTGAAAAAATCACTGTTAGTGCTTAAGTACTCGTGTCTTATTTTAGCCTCACAACAAAGGTGTTAATAGTAGAAGATGAACATGAGCCAGGTCATGTTGCATTCGTGATGACAGATGGCAGTAGTGAGAACAGCTGTATGAGGTGTGACCAGGTAAATGATCTGGTCAGAATGGTGGCAGAGCTGCGAGAGGAAGTAGAAAGATTAAGGAGCATCAGGGAGTCTGATAAAGAGAGAGACTGGTGGAACCATGCTCTTCTCTCCCTGAGACAGAAACAGGAACAGCCACCAGAGGGGGGAAAAAAGCCCCAAAGGAGGGGGGAAAAAAAAAAACCAACAAGATGAAGAGGATCCTGTATCCTCTCCACACTAGGCTGAAGGCAGTATCTTAAAGGAAAGGAGTGAATGGAGGCAAGTTCATTCTTAGGGTGGCAGGCAAACCCCCTTGCCCATCTCACCTTCCCAGGTGCCTTTGTACAACAGCTATGAGGCTCTGTATGTGGAAGGCCTGTCAATGGATTATGTGAATGACGATCCATGTACACCAGAGGTGTTGCTGGGGTCAGAAAGGCCTATTCCTTGTGTCATGAACACGTCCACAAGGAAGAAAAGATGGGTTATAGTTGTAGGTGACACAGTTCTGAAGGGAACGGAGGGTCAAACATGCCAGACAGACCCTCCTCTTAAGGAAGTCTGCTGCTTCCGTTGGGCCTGGGTTAAGGACATTGCTAGGAAACTTCTTAGCCTTGTATGGCCCTCAAACTATTACCCTTCACTGTTCTTCCATGTGGGTGGTGATGAATCATAGAATCATAGAATCGTTAGGGCTGGAAGGGACCTTCAAAGGTCATCTAGTCCAACCCCCCTGCAAGGAACAGGGATATCTCCAACTAGATCAGGTTGCAGATGAAACTGCAACACAGAGTCCACAGGTGATGAGAGACTTCAGGGTCCTGGGACAGTTGATAAGGGAATCTGGAGCACAGGTTATTTTTTCTTCTCTCCTGCCAGTTGAGGGCAACGACATTGGAAGAAAGAGATGCACCCAGTCTATTAATACAGGGCTCCCTGGTTGGTGTAACCACCACAGTTTTGAGTTTTTCTATCATGAGATGGCCTACATGGCACCAGGCTTGCTGATGCCAGATGGGATTCACTTTTTGAAAGGAGGAAGAGAGTCTCGTCGTATTGACAGGGCTTTAAACTAGACTTGAAGGGGGAGGGGATTAATATGAGACTTGCCTGAGACAAGCTGAGAGCACCTGAAGAGTGGCAGAAGGGAATCCCAGACCCTCCAGCCAGTAAGTCAGCTTCATCAGGGGCCCAACTTAAATGCCTCTATGCAAACACACATAGCATGGGAAATGAACAAGCATGGGAAATGAACAAGAGGAGTTAAAGGTGTGTGCAGGCCTACAAAGCTGCGATCTTATTGGCATCAGAGAGATGTGGTGGGATGGATCCTGTGACTGGAGTGTTGGAATGAAGGATACAGGCTCCTTAGGAAGGACAGGTAGGGAGACGATGAGGAGGTATCTCTCTGTTAGTGACCAGCTGGAGTGCATGGAGCTCTGTCTGGGAATGGATGAACTGACTGAGAGCTTCTGGGTCAGGAATAAAGGGAGGGCAGGGACAGGGGACATAGTAGTGGGGGTCTGCTAGAGGCCATCTGACCAGGAAGACCCAGACAATGAGGCCCTCTGTAGACAGACGGAAGCAGCCTCAAATTCATGAGCCCTGGTCCTCATGGAGGACTTCAGCCACCCTGATATTAGTTAAAAGAAAAATACAGTAGGGCATAAGCAATCCAGGAGGTTCCTGGAATGTATTGATGTTAAATTACTTCTTCAAGTGATAGAGCAACCAATGAGGGAAGGTGCTGTTCTGGACCTTGTTCTCGCCAACAAGGAGGGGCTGATGGGGAATCTGAAGCTTAAGAGCAGCCTTGGCTGCAGTGACAATGAAATGGTGGAGTTCAAGATTCTTAGAGAAGCAAGGAGAGTTGCACAGCAAGCTCACTACCCTGGATTTCAGGAGAGCAGACTTTGACCTCTTCAGGGATCTGCTTGGTAGAGCATCATGGGATAAAGCCCTGGAGGGAAGAAGGGCCCAAGAAAGCAGGTTAATATTCAAGGATCACCTCCTTCAAGCTCAGGAGTGGTGCAGCCCAACAAAGAGAAAGTCAGGCGAAAATGCCAGGAAGCCTCCACGGATGAACAAGGAGCTCCTGGACAAACTCAGGCACAAAAAGAAGGCCTACAGAGGGTGGAAGCAAGGACAGGTAGCCTGGGAGGAACACAAAGAAATTGTCTGAGCAACCAGGGATCGGGTTAGGAAAGCTAAAGCCCTGATAGAGTTGAATCTGGCTAGGGACTTCAAGGGCAACAAGAAAAACTTCTATAGGTAAGTTGATGATAAAAGGAGGACTAGGGAAAATGTGAGCCGTCTCCAGAAGAAAATGCGACACCTGGCTACCTGGGATATGGAGAAGGCTGAGGTACTCAACAACGTCTTTGCTTCAGTCTTCACTGGGAAATGCTCTAGCTGTGCTGCCCAAATCACAGAAGGCAAAGGCAGGGACTGGGAGAATGAAGAACCACCCACTGTTGGAGAATATCAGGTTTGAGACCATCTAAGGAATCTGAAGGTGGACAAGTCCATGGGATCTGGTGAGATGCATCTGTGGGTCCTGAGGGAACTGGTGGATGAAGTTGCTAAGCCAATATCTGTCATATCTGAGAAGTTGTGACAGTACAGTGAAGTTCCCATCAACTAGCAAAGGGCAAACATAACCTCCATTTTCAAAAAGGGAAAAAAGAAGACCCAGGGAACTATAGGCCAGTCAGTGTTATGTCTGTGCCCGGCAAGATCATGGAGTATATCTGCCTGGCAACTATGCTAAAGCACATGCAAAAAAAAGGTGACAGGTGACAGCCAACATGGCTTCACTAAGGACAAATCCTGCCTGACAAATTTGATGGCCTTCTATGATGGGGTTACAGCGTTGGTGGATAAGGGAAGAGCAACTGACATCATGTACCTGAACTTGTGCAAAGCTGTCCTGCTGTCCTGCAGGACATCTTTGTCCCTAAACTGGAGAGACATGGATTTGATAGATGGACCACTTAGTGGGTAAGGAATTTGCTGATGGTTGTACTCCGTGAGTTGTGGTCAACAGCTTGATGGCCAAGTGGAGACTAGTGACGAGTGGTGTTCATCAGGAGTCAGTTTGGGGACTGGTGCTGTTTAACATTGTTGTTGGCAACATGGACAGTGGGTGCTGAGTCTGCCCTCAGCAAGTTTGGTGACGACACCGAGCTGTGTGGTGTGGTTGAAACACTGGAGGGAAGGGATGGCTTTGAGAGAGACCTTGACAGGCTGGAGAGGTGGGCCTGTGCAAACCTTATGAAGTTCAGCAAGGCCAAGTGCAATGTCCTGCACATGGGTCAGGGCAATCCCAAGCACAGATAGAGACTAGGCGGAGAATGGATTAAGAGCAGCCCTGAGGAGAAGGACTTGAGGGTGTTGGTTGATGAGAATCTCAACATGAGCCAGAAATGTGCTCTTGCAGCCCAGAAAGCCAACTGTATCCTGGGCTGCATCAAAGAAGTGTGGCCAGCAGGTTGAGGGAGGTGATTCTGCCCCACTACTCTGCTCTTGTGAGACCCCACCTGGAATACTGCATTCAGTTCTGGGGCCCCCAACATAAGAAGCACATGGAGTTGTTGGAGCGAGTCCAGAGGAGGGCCACAAAGATGATCAGGAGCACCTCTCCTATGAAGATAGGCTGAGAGAGTTGAAGTTGTTCAACCTGGAGCAGAGAAGGCTTTGGGGAGACCTTACAGCAATCTTCTACTAGGCCCCCTTTGGGTACAAGAAAGTACAAGAAAGCTGGAGAGGGACTTTTTACAAGGGTATATAGCAATAGGACAAGGGGCAATGGTTTTAAACTGAAAGAGGACAGATTTAGGTTAGATCTAAGAAATTCTTCCCCCTGAGGGTGGTGAGGCACTGGACCAGGTTGTCCAGAGAAGTTGTAGATGCCCCATCCCTGGAAGTGTTTAAGGCCGGGTTGGATGAGGCTTTGAGAAACCTGATCTAGTGGACGGTTTCCCTGCCCATGGCAGGGGGATTGGAACTAGAAGGTCTCTTCCGACCCAAACCATTCTATGATTCTATATTAGGCAAGATGTACAATTTCTTCTGTTTCTTGTGAATCAAATGAGAATACTCAAACGAAACTGATAAGAAAGAGCTCCCTTTTGCCTCACTTCCCAGTTCCTTCCTTCTTGATGTAAAGCATAAGAGACAAGATCCGCACTGTAGTCTTGATGCTGGTTTTTGGATGTAAATAGCCAAAAACTTGTAATGATTAGTATAAAAAATGCAATGAAAGAACTCAGAGAAAATAACAGTCTAGCAAGATTGTAAATGTACATGCATTTTAAGGTCATCATTCTATTAGGGCTAAGGCTCTCAAAAAGCATTGGCCACTTTTTGTTGCTTTATGCACTGTAACAGATTGATTCATTCTACTCTGGAATGAAATTTATAGTGGAAATACCACTTGAATTTTTTATAGTACTGATGCCAGGAAGTATTGTAGTATTGTACAAAAGTACTGCAGTTCTGTTACCCTTTTTATCATAAAGGATACAGGAAACAGGGAATTCCAGCAGGAGAAATTTTTCTCCCTGTTAACTTTTCTGCGCTTTCTTCTTTTAGGTGACTTGATATTCAGGTGTAGGGAGAGGGTTTGCAGCTGCAGGCCGTAGCAAGCTTTGCAGTATGCAGATGTGCAGGGCTGTGCCTCTGGACACAGGCTGCGTGGTGTAGGTTTGGTCATGCCTCACTCAGCACTGTCATCTTCAGCCCATTGTTGTAGGTGCTCAGTGTGATGACTGTCAGTTATTTTGATACTATACACTTGGAGCAGAACTGGTGTTTCGCACATCCCTTCAGGAAATTTTTCCATGCAGATGTTCCACTTAATACACCAAGCATTGTTTTCTTTGAGGAACTAAGGAAAACTTTTTGCATATGCTTTTATTAAAAAAAAAGATAAGCATCTAATGATAGTCAAAGGATAAATTCAAACAGATTAAATAAAAATATTTCTACTCTTAAACATTGTTTCTTTCATCAGAACCATCTAAAGGACCACACATATGGAGGATCATTGATGCATCTCACTCACGAGCTTCCTGGACTGTGCATCTGCTGTGGAAGGTACGCAACATGATAAACTGCAGAAGTTGAGCATTCTTTTAAAACCATGAGTTTTAAAAGGCAAAATTTACCTCAACAAACATGAGTAGATAGCTGGGATAGTACAGGTTTTACTGATACAAGAGGTGACTTTAGTATTCTTAGTATAATAATTAGTTATGAAAAGTTAAACGTACAGATGTAAAGGCTGTCAGGTAACTGACAAACATCTGTAATCAAAGAGTATACGGAATCCACTTTTAGATTCTAGACTCACTGTCCTTTAGCAGTCTGTGGAATTGGAAACTTTCACTTGAACAAAGTAAACCTTCATGTTACGCCTTCTGCTGTATCCTAAAACTTTGGTAATGCTGTCTGGCCAGGGCTGCTACTCCAGCTGCAAAATCCAGTCAGCCTACAGGCATTCCAGAAGCCAAACATATTAAATACAGCACTGCCATGTTTACATGCAGTAGGCTGCTGTGTCTAGTTGGCTGATTAGTCCAGAACTGAGAGAGTGAATGCAGTTATGGTCAGTCTCCATCTCCTGTTTTCTTTTGTTCTGTGAACTTTGTCACATTTGATTTAGCTTTCTTTTTATTATTACTTTTTCCCTGTTACTTGCTGGTGTATATTGATACTGCATCGTCTTCTGATGTAACTCATATGCCACGTGCCACTCCTCACATTATTTAGCTTAGAGTTGGAAAACTGGTGCTACTTCACAGTTTCAACTATTTTCTCTCAAGTTATTTGAAAACTAATACTGTTACACAGAAACATAGTATTTTTCTGTGTTACTAGATAGAACAGAAACAAGTATTTTTCCATGTGTAGTAATAAAGAAAACCGCTTGGGCTTTTTTGCATTTGGGTTCCACGCAGCTTAAGACATAAGACTTGTTTTTTGTCATTGTGGTGTAAAGTCATATGAAACGCAGGTTTTATCAACACATGTTCTGCAATCTTTACAGAAGAACATTTATTAAACTAGTAGGTAGGATTGTGAGCCAAGAAAAAGAAAATTTAAAACAGAAATCGTTCTGGAAGTTACTGCTTTACAGAAATGAACGTGTATTATTTGTGCTTTCCTTAAATATGTAGCTATTTGATCTACATAATTTTTCTTACTCTCAGATTTTAAAATTATGCATCAAAGACAGTAAAGGTTAATTCACATTTGTTCAGTGTCAGTCTAATCAAAGATGTGTTTCTAACAGGCATTGGAGCCATTTGAAGCCAATGGAGTGATCTTGCAGTATGAAGTGACTGTCAGAGCCAAATCACCTCTCTCCAGTCCAATAGAGAAATACAATGTTAGTACCACCAACCTTACATTAAAGCTACCAAATGGGACTTACGAAGTGACTGTGACTGCCCGTAACAGAGCCGGGGCATCCCCTCCATCAGTTTTACTTATCCCAGCAAGTAATTCAAAAGGTTAGTGTCCTAGCAATGTCTCTTTCAAATGCATCGGCATGGCTTTTGTTGTAAGAAATCTCCGGTGTTGTAAAATGATACTTTTTACATGGACTCATAATTAAAGTATTACTGAATCTACAGTCTTATGCCTTACAATTTAGGCTACTATTTGTGTACTAAAGAATGTGCGGATTTATGTATTTGCAGGTTCATTTGAAGCTCTGTGTGCTATTTTGCTCTTCTTTTTGATCTTAGAGCTACTCTGCACTACATTCCCTATTGTTTCTTTTTTCAGCATGGCAGGCATTTTTGTTTTCATTTTTAAAAATCAAAGGGTTGGGGAAACAAGCATCCTTTACTTCATGTGTATACCATCTCGCCTTTGTTGTTCTTCCTTCTGCTTTCTGATCTTCCCCCTGCCCCTTTCTTCTTCTATCCCAGTCTCCCTCTCCCACATTTTCAGTATCTTGTCTGGTTACTTTGCATTCTGTTTCTGTACTGTTCATGTTTCTTTTTATTATGTTCCTTCTGTGGTGCAGTACTAGTAACTAGAGGCTGGTTTCTCTTTACTTCCAGCTTCCTCTTAGACAATCCGAACACTGCCAGGACAGGAAGCGAAAAATAAGAATAGGACAGATGCTGCTTTTAGTGCAAACACCAAGGGAGAGCCACAGGCTCTAAAACTATTACATGAACTAATTAAGGATATGTTTCAAACAGAGTAGCATTGCAGCCAGTAAGGCACATGAGTGTGAGTATTAGAATAGGAATTTGGAAATGTTTCATGATTTGATTTCTCTCTGGAATAGACCTGATTGGAAGAAACGTAGTATCTCTTTACTGTGCAATAAAACTTACTGTGTGTGAGAACATAGAAGCTGAGTCTTAATTTCCAGTTTTCAAGTAGCCTAACACTGCTTGTTTTGGATCTCTGGTACAAAGATTCAGATGTAAGCTTCCAATTTCAGAAAATGGCTTTTACGTTTTCTTAGCTTCTGTCAAATTGTTACCATTACAATAACCCAAAAGTATCCATGTTTGACAAAATAGTTGTTATTATGAATATCTAGTGGAAGAATTGTCAATATTTGTCACTTTTCTATTTTCTTTCATCACAGCTCCTGTGAAGAATGTTAGAACACTACCTAAAGATGGCAAGTTGTGGGTAGGGTGGACTGCTCCTAACAGTAATGTTCTTAAATATGTGATCGAATGGTGTCTGGTGTCCAACAGCTCAGAGTGCATCACAGAATGGCAGAATGAACCAGGAAACATTCAAGGAACATACTTAAAAGGTATTTGTCTCATAAGTCTACAAATACTTTGTAGAACACTCTAGAAACTTGATAAATATTCTCTAAGTGAGGAACAGCCTCATGCTGAATAGAATCTTATTGCAAGACAGGAATCTGGGGTAATGCTGAGGGCTTCTCTTAGTTTATCATGAGTGTGGAAGTGTATATTTTTGTCAAATATAAAACTGTATCTAATGTTGCATTTTTAAATTTATATGATGTAACAGCAAGGTTTTTATCTGCATTTTGGTTTTAATCTTCTCATACTTGGAAACCATTAAAATAATGAAAATGCTGAGTTTCTTCAAAATCAAATTCTCTGATCTTTCTTTCAGTTCAAGCAATGAAACTTGATCAGCTTTACAGTTCTTTTCAGATTATGATCAGTAACTCGAATCAATAATTTTGGAGTTCAGTGCTGCAGACAGATAACTGCTGTTTATTTAAAATAAGTTAGGGGAAAAAACAGACTTCTAGGAAGTGTGTTTATTAACAGTTCACATTAAAATTTGAATTTACATTCTTCCTTTCGTTAATATTTTGGAGCAGTATATTAATGATCTCTAGAAAAAAATAGCTGCATTAGATACAAGTGCATCTAATAAAACAGCCAAAACACAGAGCCCTGTATCTGAAGTAAATGAGAAGAATGGTGAGGAATTTGATTGTCTGTGAAACAACACATTTTAAATTCCTTTTATTAGGTGATATAAAGCCATTCAAGTGTTACTTGATAACTGTGTACCCTCTGTATGCCGATGGTCAGGGAAGTGGACAGTCTGTGAAGGCTTATCTTCAGCAGGGTCGTAAGTACAAAATAGTAATCTTGGAGCATATACACTGACTTTCTTGACTGAAAATAATGAAACCTTGGCTTTAATGTAGCAAGGTCTACACAGTGAAAAATGGTCCTGTACTTGAGGGTCATGTGACATAATTATCTTGCCCCTTGTATTAACATCTGTTCTGTTTATTTACATTATTTAGGAGTTAAACAGATGTCTATGCTGACTCTTTCCATTTTCAAACCTTTATGAGATAATTCGGTATTAGTTTATTGTTTTATTGGTGTAGTAATATTTCTATGCTGATTTATTTTATATTTCAAGTATGAAGCCAAAACTTATTAACTTCAGTTGAAGATTTCATGTGATCTGTGATTACTGGTTTTGTATATTTTTTTTTTTCTGAAGGTTTCTCTTTTAAAAAACATCTTCGGAGTTGCCATGTTGTCTGAAACTAATGCTTTGCAGATGAGTTAGTCCAGCTATTCCGTTGACGTTTTTATGCAGTAGCAATTCAGTACTCAGTAATACACTGCTGCTGTGGATGTGAGGGTGCCCAACAGAAACTAATCTTCATATTCCGTTCCAGGTCCTTCAAAAGGACCAACTGTTCAGACAAAAAAAGTAGGAAAAGCTGAAGCTGTTTTGACATGGAATCATCTCACAGTGGATGAACAAAATGGATTCATCAGAAGTTACACCATATTTTATAAAACTATCGATGGAAATGAAACAGGTAACAGAAAGCAGAGGAGTGCTTTGTGGGACTGAAGTATTCCATTTCCTTCCTGATACGTATTCTGGAAAAACAAGATACAGAATTGAGTGTGGCTGACTGTTCTGTTGATACAAAAGCTGATGATGGAGGCGTAGCACTCTTCTATAACGAACAGATAAGCCCCTACTAAAGAATTCGGAACATTCAGTCTGTGTGTAACAAGAGTACTGAGTTTGGTTTCTGAAAGCTGATTTGTGGATATTGTTCTCCCATCTTTCCATCTAAATACAAGATGAGATGGTGATATAGCGAAATGAAGCTAGACCATTCAAGATGTAAAGGAGGTGACTGCATTTAACTATGATAAAGCCTCAAAAAATATTTTTAATCCTCTTGAAGCTCTAGATCAATATTACTGATGTTTTACATCTTGTTTGAAGCGCATTTTAGTTCAGTAGTGTGTATGACCTGCAGGCACGAGACAGGGAGCTAGCACTATCAAGTTTTTCTTTTTTAGATTTGCTTAAGTTGGAAGGGCCATTTACTTAGGCCTGCCTTACTTATTATTTCTAGTTAACCCTGTTTTTTCTCGTTAGTAACTAGGTATTTCTAGTTAGTCTGTAGTCTTTCTATGTCTGCTGTATTTTCCATGTGACTATGCATTCTACTAAAACTACCTTGTAGTTGAAGACATGTCCTAATGCTGCTGTGTTTGTGGAGGTCTAAAAAATTGTACAGAAATCTAGCATAAATTTTTTCCTCTCTTTAGCTGTGACAGTGGATCCTTCCAAGACAGAGTACACCCTTTCTTCTTTAACTAGTGACACACTGTATACGGTGCGGATGATGGCATATACAGATGAAGGAGGCAGAAGTGGTCCTGATTTTACATTTACTACACAAAAATTTGGTAAGGAAGAGTGGTACGGTTAGTAGAGGTAGGAAATAATGTAACAGTGTAACAAGGCTCTGTGCAAGATCTGATAGGAGGGGAAGGTTATTTTTACTTAAAAGAAAAAAATTTCAGTCACAGTCATGCTCACAAGGTGCATGATATCCAGGTAGCCTATCTAGTACTCAATCACAAAGAGGTAGTTTAGTCAGGATTTCTTCTGATTGTTCAGAGGAGAAGCTATCCTCTGCAGGTCTCCTGGATTGCTTGTTTATGTTGGCAAACATGCTGGTTTGGATGTGTTTTTTGTATGCTTTAGTATTCTTTTGCCCAAACTTTGTGTGAGTCATTAGGATTCACTCAGGGCCTTCGTCTTCTCTTCTGGTGTCTGATGGCTCCTGCCCTGGTCTTAAAGAGTCCAGAGTCTTTGTTTTAATCTGAAGGTAGGCTGGCCTTTATTATCCTACTACGGGTGTCCTGAGGAGCTGCAGAGGTGTACTGAGATCTTGATCTGCTAATCTAGGTGCCAGTCAGCATGTGCCATTCTTACAACCCTTCTTAGGTTTCGTGTTCTCTATTCATATCACTATTAAAGTTTACTACAGTTCTCTACTAATTTTGGAGAGTTAAAATTATTGTATGTGCAGCTTTAGAGAGTGCTTCCTATTTGCAATTGTAAGAGCAACAATATTAACTGAATTTGGTTGTGGAAAGCACTTCTTTAGATTTAGAAGTTCTTGAGGTTTTTTTGCCTCCCTAAGCATTCTGTAAGGCTTACTTAAGAATGTGTATAACACTGGAAGAGTTACATAATAATAATGCAACCTTAAGCGCTTGCAGGCAGAGGATATTTATGTGCACAGAGTAAACTGATGGATGACTAGTGGCTTTGCTTGCATTAGTTATTTGACCCTGATGACATTACGGCAGCCAGTAGGCCACTGAAACACCTGCACCACAGATTGATTCACATAGATGTTACTATCATACCCGCCCAAAATGTAAAATTACTTATTCTGCCACTTATTATGCTTCTAGAGCAACATGTGGTTTTTGTTGATGCAAGGCATTAGCTTGTTGGGACAGAGCTTTTCGTGTTTCCACCAACAGGTTCTTCTCATATGGTTAAAAGGTTCCTCTGAAGGTGAAGCCCAAGACTGAGTGCTGCGAGTGTATTCAGTTTTGGATTCTCCCTGTCTCTTTGGGAATGTATGCTGCTGCTGAGTTCCTTAAATGCCAAAATGGGCTATAACTCCTTCTCTTTATTTTCTTCAGGGAAAGGAGAAATTGAAGCCATAGTTGTACCTGTGTGTCTAGCGTTCCTGTTGATTGTGCTTCTTGGAGTTTTGTTTTGCTTCAACAAACGTGACTTGTAAGTATAAAGGAAGTCTTTCTTCTATGCTTCTGATCTTTCTGGGTATAACAGAGAGATGGCAATAGTTCAATACAAATAAGTAAATATTCTGCAGTTAGAAAAAGAAGGTAAAACACATACATCAATTGGTGATAAACATTTTTGTGTTTTCCTTGAGAAGTCAAGGCCCCTTCTGGTACTGACTTCTTACTGTTAACAATTAGCACACAAACTAAATGTTCCCTGACTCAGTTGTGCAAGGATACTCCTGCTTTTCTTGCTGGAGTTGGTCAGGATCAGGTTTGTTGTTTTGATCAGGGTATACTGTCTGTGTTATTTTCTTAGTTATCATATGAGAGTGAAATGATGGTCCCTAGTTTGTGAAGCACAGAAGATCTGTTTGCTGGCTGTATTTGAGCTATTTTATTACAGCATTAGCAAACTTTAAGCTTTACAGCAAAAAAAAAAATTAGACAGACATTTATCTATGTTGCATAACCTCAGTCAAACTCTGTGCCTGTTTACTACTATCTGCTGAGAAAAAGCCTCCTCCTGCTACCCCACAGATCTTGTCTGTGGCTTTAGCTGAGAGCTTATTGCTGAAGTGTTTTCCCTGCCAAGGAGTCGTACCTCTCCCATGTCCCCAGTCAACTACCTTTTCTTTCTAATTAAAGACAGCATTTTGTGCCCTTTTCCTTCCTATCTCCCTGCTGCTCTGAAAACCAGTTCTTAATGGACGTCAGTTGAAAAGCCCATCTTGCAATGTTCTTCAGAGTTCTACAGAGGATCTATTGTTGGAGCCTGTTTATGGAGAGCAGGATAGATGCATCGATTTAAAAGTTTGTTTGGGGGTGACTTACCTACAGAATCTTGTTGTTAAGTAGCAGTTACTACATTCTTAAACTTAAGAGTTCAGAATTACGAAAGACCAAGCAAGTTTTTCTTAAAAATTTTCACTTTGTGTTTAGCTGTGAAGTTGGCTTAGGTTTTGACAGCTGTGATATTCATAGCCATCTTGAAGAAGCAGCAGTGTATTTTTATAACGACACGCATCACAGACTTTACCTAAATAACTGCTCAGTAGATTCTAGCGTGCTATAAATTTGAAAATCCCTCACTAACCATTCCTGTGTGTTGGTTTGTTTGCCTTATGTTGGATGGCTGCATCTAATGTGTGAAGGAGTTATAACTTCAGTGCTGTATTTCGCTAAGTTACAGCTTCCTATAAAGATGTAAAGTAGTGCAGAAAGCATTCCTATTTAGAAATAAATACTCTTGCAAAATTCCTGTGTGAGGCAGTGATGTCCTGGATTATGCAGTACTTGCTCTCAACATAGGAATTTGGGAGCATCGTGTAATTTTATTCTGATTTTAATCCTTTACAGAATTAAAAAACATATCTGGCCTATTGTCCCTGATCCATCCAAGAGTAACATTGCTCAGTGGTCTCCTCAAGTTCCAGCTAAGGTAATACTCATCTTTCTGCATCCTGTATCTTCCTAGTCCACAAGGTTTCAAATAAACTAACTAGTGGGAGTCTTCTGTCTTCTAGCACATGCAGATTTCAAGGAAAAAAAAAAAACCTGGATGTTAAGTTTCATGACATTGTGATACGATATGATTAAAAGACTTTATTGCATCAATAGATTCAGCATTAGAAATACATGGCCCTTAGCACAAGTTTAAAGCATAAAGCAGACTTTAACATTGTGAATTATATTCAGTTTACTAGTTGGAAGGGTCAAGTCCTAATTATTTTACTCATTCGTGGGAAATAATATTCTAGAATATTCCTATTCTTAAAACCCTGAAGTGACCTGTTTGCACAGTTCAGTCATGAATGAGAAAGTGCCAAGAGTTCCTCATAGATGAGGAGACAGCAACAAAATTTATGCCTCATGTGGGGTGAATGACATAGCCACAGTTGACTGAACAGAATTTGCTAACTTGTATGAAGAAACGCTGTAATCTTGAATACATTATTGGAAGCAATGTATGTAAGTAAAGTATGTATGGCTTCAGTATAGAATGTTTCTGTGCTGCATGGCAAATGGTTCTACATTTATGGTTCTTAAGAGTAATTAAAATTAGAGCAAGGCTTGCACACCCACTATGGTTTTAGAATAGCTGCATAATTAAGACTTGGTATTGGAAACAAAGCTACATCCTTCATTTTGTAACAGATACTTTGGAGATATTGCCCAACTTAGTAAGGAGAAAACTTACATGAAGAAACTCGAAACAATTACAGATTAAAAATTTGCATATTTAATAGGAGTTTTGATTTTTAACATAACCTTCCTCTTAGGCAACATTCATCTTTCTTTCAGCATAACTTTAGTTCCAAAGATCAGATGTACCCAGAAGGCAGCTTTACAGATGTAAGCGTCGTAGAAATAGAAGCTGATGACAAGAAGTCTTTTTCAGAACAAGATCTAAAACCCTTTGACTTGCTTAAAAAGGAGAAGAGCACTTCAGAAGGGCACAGCAGTGGTATTGGAGGATCCTCGTGTATGTCTTCTCCTAGGCAAAGTGTCTCTGACAGTGATGAAGGTGAAACTACACAAAACACTTCAAGCACTGTACAATACTCAACTGTAGTACTTAACGGCTACAGAGACCAAACACCGGTACAAGTCTTTTCAAGGTCTGAGTCAACTCAGCCACTACTAGATTCAGAAGAGAGATCAGAGGATCACGGTGGAGGAGGTGACAGTACCACACAGAGGCAGCAGTATTTCAGACAAAAGGGTGGTCAGGATGAAACCAGCACAGACAGGGCATGCTTTGAAAGAACAAAGCAAATTGCTCCTGCTAATGAGGGGGATCTTGTTGGATTTGCACAACTGCAGATCTCAGGTCAGCGTTCACAGCCCTTGGGCCTTGGGCTGGAAAAAAATACCCAGGAAGCTGCTCTATCAGATGTTTTACAGACAAGTACTGAAGGACAAACTGTGAGACCTGAAACAGTGGAAGGAAATCCACCAAACCCACTGTCAAGTGATGAAATGCCAAAAAGTTACCTCCCGCAGACTGTGAGACAAGGGGGCTATATGCCCCAGTGAGAGAAGAGACTGGCTCTGCTTAGGCCTTCATTAGTGCCTGTTCAACTTTCTCCTGTGTTTCAGATAAATTAAGCTAGGTATTTTTGTCTGAATGCAGATAGAAATACTGAAATTAAGTGAAGAGTAATTTGACAAAGTACAATAAGGACTGTTTCTGTGGAAAATTTGCAGTCCAGACCTACTGGAGACTTATTTTCATGCACTACATAAAAATAGTCTGGATAGCTGAACAAGCGTTTGTGCTACCTTGGGTTTTTTGTCTTGTCATGCCAGACGTACACAATTGAAAATGGCAAGTTTCAACTAACCACATCAGCCGATAGACGTCCTTGAAGAAATACTTCAATTTGTGACAGTGTACAAGCCTAAAAAGCCAGCTTTAGTTGCTTGGAGCATCTTTGCGCAAAAGTAAGACTGAAGCTTAGTATTCTAACGTGGAAGAACACTTCTTATATACTTTTCAGTAGCTTGATTGACTTTGGATTTAGACTTGGCCCGGTGTCTCAGTTTCCAGCTTACCAGACATGGAAATTGTGTTCATCCCTGTTCAAAAATTACAAAAATTAAGTAGGACTTGCTATGGTGTGTCAGTAAGAAAACACCGTCATTGCTTGACTCTGAATGCTACTATAGTGATTGATATTCTGCCTACATTTAGATATGCATGCACATGAACTATATAATAATTTGGCCTAAAAATGTGCCTTGCAACTGGATGCACAGCAACTCAGTCTCGTGTTCAAAAATCCAGATGAAAACACAGATTAACAGTTATTCAAAGGTTTTGTACCCAGATCACTGTCTGATTATACCGTAATACTCTGGTTGAATAAATTGCCTTTGTTTAATAAGTGCACCTTTGCTCTATACAGCTTGAGGGGCAAGTAATGAGCTGTAAGCTCTTGCCATTTTTCTAACTGCTCTTCCTGATTGACTGCAACAATTAGCGTGCTGTCACCTCACTGCTAATGCCACAGGACCTCCTTGAAACTGAAAGCAGCAAAAACCAAAGCATTGAAGTCATTGAAGCTCTCAGAAGAAAAAACAAAACCTATACCTTGAATTTGAACGCTACTGGTAGTGCGTATCTATTAGCGATCATGAGCCATGAGTAATGCTTACGCGGTTGTTAAAATTCCTCACTTTTTTCTTATGTCTCACTTCTTCCTCGTTCATATAGTCTGCATTTTCTTGAAGACATGTTTCTTTGGGACTGTCTGCCAGGGTTTAAAGAAAAACGAAATTACGTTAAAATCAACCCCTTCTCCAATGATAACTAGAAATTTTATGGCACTCTTGCAACTTTGGGGATTTTTTTAACCTTAGTCTATTCAGCTTTCTAATCTGACACTAATAAAACCTGGATTCGAAACACTAAATGCTGAGTTGTGAGAATAAAACAAGGATTGTATTTCTCCTTCAGCAAGAACTATGTGTTTACCACCACCTGAAACCTTTTGTGCTGTGACCTCTGGTGCTGCTGTTGTGCACAGCACTTGCTAGAGGCCCTGGAAAGGCAGGTGTCAGTATCATTTCAACTTCCCCTGTCCTTGTCTGCCCACTTGCATGGAAGGACAGGTATACATATAAATGTTCATGTCTTCTGCTTTTATTACAAAGAAATTCAATGCTAGAGTAAATTAATAAGATTCCCTCTTGAAGTCTGGACTATTTAAAACAGATAAAGAATTCAGAATCTTTAACATTTCAGTATTCCACAGTTCCTTTCTCCCAGTATTTTTTGTATCTGGGCATTTTTATAAACTAGAAGGCTATGTTGCAGCTTACTATGACTACACCTTTCTTCAAACCAGTCCCCTTCCTTTTTTCCCCACTCCACCTCAGCATCTTCAAACTCCCTCTCAGGGGGCAAGGGCATAATCAAAATTATGCTGTTGCAAGACAGCAGAGATGGTTTTTCTTTTTCTTTTTTTTCAGAGGTTGAAGCATTACTTTGTCAGAACTCATTTCTCTTGGAAAATAATAGCAGTTACTTTTCTGGGAGATGGGTCGTCTTCTCTATGCAATTTTCATAGTGACTGTAGAAACCACAAGTAAAAGGGAAAGTTTCTGTTGAGCAATGTGCGTGCTTACTAGAACTGCAGACATGCGTATCTAATCCACCTCCTGCTCATCTCTGAAATACTGCAGGCCACAACATGACTACATAGTCTGAACGTTGCTTCAAAGGCCTGAATGTTTGCAAATACGTGGTGATGGTGATAATTTCTTTCTTTTTTATAGTTATTTTTTGTGATCTAGTGATAATAACTTTTGATAGCATGTGTCATACTTGAGGGACAACTTAAGTTACTCCTGAAGTTCCTGTTAGCCTTTCTGTTGTGTAAAGGGAAAGCGTTTTGTTCTCAGTTGCTGTTAATCATGGGCCGTTTCCAATGTTAAAGCAGCATCAAGTGATTCTTATTTTTAAAGGTCTGTGCTAACAAGACTTCTGGCCTGTCATTTCTGGCTTCATTTTTTCTTTATTGTTCTTGGGCCAGTGATAATAAACTCACAGATTCATACAGGAGTGTATCCTAGAGAGAATTCTGGTTGGGTGGCAGAGTTATATTCTAATTTTCAGGCTTGTGCATTTATCTAGGGCTAAAATACTAAAGACTAAGCAGGAGATACTGGTGGGTGAACAGCTTGTAGAAGTCACAGTGCATATAAATAACAGGTTTACAGCTTGTTCATAAACCTATGTGCCAAATATTATATCATGCAGTGTTCAGGGTTTAACTTGATTTTGTACTGGGGATCGTAACAATCTAATTGTATCAAACAGTTGCATACAGGTTTTTAGAGTATCTGAGTATCTGTAATGTAATTACAGCAGTCCACTGACATTCTCTGAACTTGACCCTATCGTAGTAATTAAAAGAAAAGCTTCCCCCTCCTCTCCAATAACTATGGTGCACTTTACAAAATAAAGGCATTATTAAAATAAAGTCACACTTCAATATTGACACTTTCATGTCCATCTTGATTTCCTGGACTGGAATTTTTCAGGCAGAAGTGGGAGAATAGTTGTAAAGACCTTGTTATTTTGGTGGCAGGGAAGGGAGGCTGGTAGAAATAGGAGGTATTTTTCCTGAATTAGCATGCTTGAAACATCTCTCAAGTGCAGGCTGGCTCCCCTGTTCACAAGGAAAGTGAATATATTTATCTCCATAGTTCTGTTGTGGTGATTCTGTTAGAACAGGAGGCTGTACGGGTTGATTCTGCAATACGTTGGCTTGTTTTCAGGGCAGTTAGTCTGGGAATATCCTCTCTCACTGTAGTGAAAGTCTTGGGATGATGTTTCATATGCCCTACTGTAGTCAACTAAACTGCCTTTTAAGCCTTAACCTGGCAGCGCAAAACACAGCAGAGCCAAAGTAATTCTGAACTTCATTCTGGAGTGTTTGTGACAAGCATGTGCCTATCTGTGCAACAGCAGCCTTGCAAAATGCTAATTATCAGGACTGGAAAAAAGCCTGGCCCTGGGAGGAGGAAGGAGTTTGCATGCGAGGGCTCAGTGAGTCCCATTTGTGAGCGCTGGAGAAGCCCCAGGGCCCGGGGTGGGGTTTGCAGTGTCAGCTTTGACTGTAAATCCTGAGCGTTGCCAGATGGTTAAAACGTAAATTAGTGTGCCCAGTGTGTGGGAATCACTGTGCTGAGTTAACTTCAGTAATTGAACTTGTTTAATTAGTGCCAGGTCTTGAGTATCCAAGACCCGCATCAATATATGCTGCTATGGTATTGACTTCACAGTGGGATCTGAAACTCCAGAGGCCCTTAAGTTTAATAGGCAGCCCTGCTCCAGGACATAAAAGTTTTAAATTGTAATTTATTTATATTAAATGAGACTAAATATACAAGTTTATTTCCCTGAGACAGTTGTAATTGAGATTTGTTATTTGAATACATTCCTTTAGCTATGTTAAGAACTTCTCCTGACTGATAGATTGTAAAACTTCGTTAATCTTCTGTAACCTCTTGTCTGTTTACTAGAATGGATACAGATAGCTATTTTAAATTCCAAGAGTTGCTTTTGATGTTATTTGGAAGCAGTTTATAACAAAAACGTTGAGTCTTTTGTTGTGAAACAGCAATTTGGAAATTACAGCCAACCCTGCAGTCTTCAGCTTAGCAATTGATCTAGAAAACTGCGGTAAAACGGAGGTGTAAGTGCAAAAGTCTAGAGAAGGGTAGATTAAGTATCTTGCATTGGACTCGCAAATTCCCATTTCTATTTCTTGAAAGTGAAAGGATCAGGTAAAAAAAAAAAGCTAGAACACCTGTGTATGTGCTTTCCCTGTTGTTTCCTTTGTAGTATTTGACAAATCTGAGCCATTCCTAAAAATGAAAGCAGTGCTGACTTAATGCACAAGGATACGTTTTTAAGGCTACAAGATTTGATACAAACTAATTTAGAACTAATGACTAAGGGCCAGATCTTCACAATTGTCTGCTTCTCCTCCCTGGTAGTTGTAGTGCAGAGAGGGCAGGCAGTAAGTCCCTCGCAGAACGCAGCTTTAGCTAGTGCTTGTATTTATTTGCAAAGACAACTTTGAAGGGGATATACGCAATAAAGTCACTGATACTCTGCAGAAGCACACTTCTGTAACAATAGATGAAAAACACGTATGGCACAACTGTCGACAGGCGGCTGGAGAGCTCCACGTCTTCCTGCTCAGACCCAAGCGTCCTTCGTGCCCCGCACCAGCTGTTCTCCGGCGACGGCAGGCGGGGTGGATGAGCATTCTCTGCGGTGTTGAAACTGGTAACACCTCTCGCTGTTCTTCATACCAAAGCACATTTGTTAATGGATTCAGTCAACTTGCCGTGCTTTTTTAACACACCAGTCTTTTTACAATGTCACATACAGCCTGATGCTTCGCTACAGCAATGGATCGTCTAGTGACTAAGTGCTTCTGGTTGGAGTTCAGGAGTCTACGGTCAAGGTTGCTGGTCACCAAATGTTGCTGCACTGACATATGCATCTGGGTGAGCGGAGGCGTGGGACACAGGGACAGACGTACTGAGAGGAAAGTGCCTTCACGCTGGATGAGAACGGCTAGTGAATGTAAACATTAAGTCAAATTTTACTGTGTACTTAAGTGTGGCTGATTAAGCTAATTG